GACTTGTGAGTGAGTGAATGAATGTCTGTCTGTCTTTCTTTCTGTCTGTGTGTCTCCTTTGTTTTCTTTTAGTGTAACATTGAGATGATTTTTTTTAAATTTAGCACCAGCTCAAGGCACAGCACCATTTCCAGTCCTTGTTCCCAGTATTGCAAAAATGTCATTAAGACAATTAGATGGTTTTTGAGAGATGGGAGAATGAATATCTTGACTCAGGCTATCAAAGTGATAATTATTTTTTTATCTATTAATTCAGAGTTCTGGTTTTTGGATATACGGATCATGATAAGATTTTGGGAAATAAAGGAAAGTTGATAGTTGATGATCAATACTTTGATGTACTGTAAAATATGTTTCATGGTCCGGTGTGAAATCTTATCACTGGTGCTCAAGTTCTGAATTTCGTACTGTCTTCTTGCAATTCATAAAACTGGTCATGCTCCATGAAGGGAACAAGGGTTAGGGTAGATGGGACTTGTGGTATCAGCAGTGATAATACCTGGGATCTGAATGATAAGTTCCCTTTAAATTATAGTGCGTAGGACATTTGTATATGAAATGTGTTAGCATATTTGTCAGATATCAGACAAATTTAATAGTACAGGAAGGCTATAAATTTGTTGAAAACATGGAAAGAAAGGGATATGGAAAAATACCTCAGAAGTTTTGATTGCAACAATGTAAAAAAGCTGTTGAGACTCTAGAAAGAGTGCCGAGAAGAGCAACAAAGATGATTAGGGGATTGGAGGCTAAAATATATAAAGAATGGTTGCTGGAATTGGGTATGTCTAGTTTAATGAATAGGAGGACCAGCGGTGACATGATAGCAGTGGTCCAATATCTCAGGGGCTGCCACAAAGAAGAGGGAGTTAAGCGATTCTCCAAAGCACCTGAGCAGTGATGTGATTCAACCAGTCTAACAACCGGGTCACTGAGCACGCGCTTTGCCCAAACCGGGCAGAACCAATAGAATCCCACTTCTGCACCAGAGGGCAGGTCAAGAAGCAATGGGTGGAAACTAAACTAATCAAGGAGAGACACAACTTAGAACTGAGGAGAAATTTCCTGACAGTTAGAACAATTAATCAGTGGAACAACTTGCCTCCAGAGGTTGTAAATGCTTCAACACTGGAAGTTTTTAACTTGTTGGATAACCATTTGTCTGACGTGGCGTAGGGTTTCCTACCTAAGCAGGGAGGTTGGACTAGAAGACCTCCAAGGTCCCTTCCAACTCTCTATTCTAAAGTCCAGGCTAGTGTTTCTCAACCATGGCAACTTTAGGAGGCGTGGACTTCAATTCCCAGAATTCAACTCCCAGCATAGCTGGCTGGGGAATTCTGGAAGTTAAAGACTATCCCTTTTAAAATTGCAAAAGGTGCAAAACACTGCTCTAGGCACTATAACCCAGCAGCCTGGCACCATTAAGTACATAATTCCTACTTTGTAAAGTCAGTAGCACCCACATGACAAATTTGGCTGAGAGTGTGCAAAATGCCTATCAGCCAGTAAAACTGGTCTTCCTTCTCTACTATGGATTTTAGTCCAAATAGGAATATGGGATCAGTCTTTATTGTTATAGCATCTATAAAACCTCATCCCTTTTCTATGTCTCTGAAGTTCTTGCTGTCATCTGTTTGGAAAAAGTACCCTAGCAATTCTAATGTATAGAATATAGTCTGTGAGCAATCATTTTGATCTAACCACATCCACCTATGTCAGGCTTCATTCACTACACAGGTGAAATTTATTTACATTCTCTGATGTCGACTATACTGTGACACTGACAAGGTCTAACATTGATTTTAGTTGTTGAAATGAGTTCTGAAACACTGCTGTGCTCAAACCTGTAGATGAAATATAAAGAAACTGACATTTAAAGCAGATTCCTTTTTATTATTTAGCAGTTTACCAACAGCATAACCTTTGCTTTGCTAGAGATAGAAGATCCTGAAACAATAAGTTTTTATTGGTTTCATCTCCTGTAAATGTCATCTAAGGCTTTCTTGTAAAGGGGTATTCGTGTGTGTGTGTGTGTGTGTGTGTGTGTGTGTGTGTGTGTGTGTATGCATACTATATATGTATTACTACAATACAGAATTTTGATAACACAGTTCTGCTTCTACCAGGCTTATACATAATCTTGTTTTCCAAGCAGTATAGTACTTTTCTCAAGAAAAGAAGCAAGAAGCAAGGGCATAGTACGACTGTATTATAAAGAAGGAGGTGGTGGTGACGATAGTGTTGTACTCTTAATTTCCACATTTCTAAATGAATTGTCTCTAAATGGAGATAATTACACCTTGTAAATTGATCTGAAATATTTCATATTATGTATCCATGGGTTATGTGAGCATTTTCAGGATTACCAGGATTCCCAGGGTTGTGTCAGTGGGGGATTCAAATAATTTAACAACCGGTTCTCTGCCCTAATGGCCAGCTGGATAGGCGTGGCTCGGTAGTCATATGACTGGGTGGGCATGGCCAACTCACTCTCACCTTAGCTTACAATGTTACAATGTTACATTGTAATGAGGGTTAACCGGAAAGGCAGTTTCTTTAAGCAGGGCAATAAGGATTAAGCTAGAAACAACACCAGAATGTTTCCTTCCTGCCTTCCTTACAGGATTAGCCCTGTAAAGTGGAAAAAAAACAAAATGAGATTTCTTCCAACAACCTGTTCTCCGAGCTGCTTAGAAAGTTAACAACCAGTTCTCCTGAATAGGTGCGAACTGGCTGAATCCCAGCACTGGTTATAGTTACACTATTATTTGTATTTCATTTGGGGTGGGGGAGGTGTTTAGTTTTTCAATGTAGTATAACCAATGGATTTCAAATCTTCATTTTATTATGACATTTCTTGTTACAGAAATGTCTTCCTTTTTTAAAAAGACTTGTGAATTTTATCTTTTATGGCCAAGAACAATCTGTAAAAAATGCAATGGGTAGCATTTCAGGCTAAATTATTCAGGCTGCTATGCATAAAAAATATTTTGCACCACTCTCACTGCACTTTTTAAATACCATACTAAACTATTCATACATTCTGTCTGAAGTATGATCTGACTTGGCCTTTTCTCAGCTTTGTTGATGCTTAGTAATACTTTCGTTTGAGAGGAAAAATGAGTGATTCCTAGGATGGAAGAAATTGTTCAATTGTCAGAGTACTCATCTATCTGGTTCAGGACTATGGCAGTGACTGGCAGATTTAAAAAGAAGAGTTTTTCCAACTCTGAAAAGCCTACCTAAAAAAAACAGAAATAGAATCCTAAGCTCTTTGCATACATCATTGATAGCCATTAGTGTCTTTGACCGAGGATTGTTCTCTAACAGCAGCACAGTGGAATTCTCTCAAGGACAACACATGGAATGAATTGCTTGTAGCATTCCAGGATATGGGCAGTGTGGTGGCTTAGAGGTTAAGACACTGGGCTTGTTGGCTGTAAAACCGACAACTTACGTTTAAGACCCTAGTGCTACGCGACCGGATGACCTCTTGTCCTTGCCTCCTGCTCCTGACAGTCTAGCAGTTTGAAAACTTGCAAATGCAAGTAGATAAATAGGTACCATTTAACAGTATTCCATGATGTCATGTTGACTATATGACAATGGAAATGGTCTCCAGACAACACCAGCTCAATGGCTTTGAAATGGAGGTGAACACCGCCTCCTATAGTTGGCAATGACTAACAAAGGGAAATCTGCAGGGACACCTTTACTCAAGGTGCTTTTTTCAAAAGGCAACTGGATTGTTGTGGTTTTTCTTTGAAGATGTTTTGCTCCTCCAATTGACTCTTGAAAAAAACACTTTTGGGTTTAGTCAAGGATAGTCCACTAAAGAAGAGTGAAAATACCTGAAGTCATTCCTGGCATATTAATTATCAATTGCAACATAAAAAAAATCAGCGTCCTACTATATATGAGGACGATATAAGCATAGGAGAGAATCAAGGGTGAAATGCTTCCGGTTCAGAACGGTTCACCCAAACCAGTGGTAAAAATGCTACTGGTTCACCCAAACCGGTAGTAAAAATGCTACTGGTTCACCCAAACCAGTGGTAAAAAAGCTACTGGTTCACCCAAACCGGTGGTAAAAATGCTACTGGTTCACCCAAACCAGTAGTAAAAATGCTACTGGTTCGCCCAAACCAGTGGTAAAAATGCTACTGGTTCACCCAAACCAGTAGTAAAAATGCTACTGGTTCACCCAAACCGGTAGTAAAAATGCTACTTGTTTACCCAAACTGGTAGTAAAAATGCTACTGGTTCGCCCAAATCAGTAGTAAAAAAAATGAAACCGGTTCAGGCAAATCGGTTTTTCTGACACGTGATTTATATTAGCTAGACAGCAGTGGATTTCCTACCCCCTCTCAGTGTACCTTACCTTTTTGACGCTCTGCGCATGCTCACATTGCTGCCGAACCGGTAGCAAAGTTAAGTGGATTTCACCCCTGGAGAGAATGTAGTACCCAATTTGTTCCAGATAATCTTTTAAATTAAAAAAAAAAGTAAGCAAGTAAATAGGAAGCTGGTATTTGAAAGCCAAACACAAACTTTGTTTCATTTATTCATTGTTACATGAATGCCCCATTATGGTTCCACTGGGATGGTAATAAACATTCATTGTTACAACCACCAGATTGTAGAGAACTGTATGACTGTGTCTCAGGCCATTTTCTAAAATTAAGACTATGCTTAATTTATTAAGTTGTTGTGACACTATATAGGGGAAGCTGCAACAGGCAGTGGTAAAATTCCCTAGATGCTATGACTCAAATGAGGAATATGAGGGTATTAGTAATTTTAAGTGTTTATTTTAAAGTATTTTATGTTGCCTTTCTAGTAAAAGGTAGTAGAAAAGTAGAACTTCCAAAGATTCATAGCCATTACTTTACATCTAATACAACCCAAAGGGTTTATATTTCACAGATGCCTTCTTTGTTAATCTAATTCTGTCTCCTCGCTTATTGTGTGGCCATATTTTCTACTTTTCATGTATGCAGGAACCTACTGGCATTGAATATCCACTTATGGATCCAGCAAGCACCATTACAACCGTAGTAGGACCCTGTGCATTCAGCATCCCTCTTCCTATCCGTCAGAAGCTTTGCAGTAGTCTAGATGCTCCTCAAACAAGAGGCCACGATTGGAGGATGTTGGCCCACAAACTCAACTTGGACAGGTAAGCAAGCATATTTTCAACGTAAATTTGACATTAGTTGAGTTACTTTTTCATACGTGCTAGCAGTGCATTGCTGATTCTTCTGAAACTAGTAAGAGAAATCTGCTCTTCAAAAATTTCCTTCCACAAAAGTTTGTGTCAATAACCATGGATATTGTGTAGGATTAAGTCATATAATGGCTTATGGTCTATGGCAGGGGTGTCAAACTCAAGGCACGGAGGCCAGATGTGGCCCATGGGATGCTTAGATCTGGCCTGCAGGGTCGCCCTGCAAACAACAAAGACCACCTCGCAGTGCCTGTGCAAGCAAAAATGGAGCTCAGGAGGGCCGTACGTGGCAGAGGATTGCAGGAGGCTATCATAGCCAAAATCGGAGCTCAGGAGCCCAATTTCACTGGCAGAGCACTTGGGCCACCGCAGGCACTCCTAATATGAGTGAGGTTGAGCTGGCCACGTCCACCCTGGCCACCCACCCCCACCCCAAAGTCAAATACAACCCTGGTGCAGCCCTCAATGAAATCATTGTCACTCCTGGTCTATGGGAACAATTGTCTCAATCGATATTGGGGTACCCATCTAAATTGTAGCTGAAGACTTGCTATACAAAATGATCATATCTTTTCATCCAAAACAGTAAAATTAATGTTAAAATATAGCTCCTGGGCATTATTTTGCTATTTTTCACTTATTTACACATTCCCATATACAGACACCAGAGTAGAAATCACATTGTAAAAGTTCTAATTATGGTCTCTGTTATTTAATATATGTAGCATGGGACAATTGAAGGTTTATTGATGACCTCTAGATTATTCTATTGATCAGGGAAAAAAACACCTGTTATAAAAGATGGTTCATTTTCTTCTTTAATGCATGTCGCTCTTGGAGTGACTACTATTATAACCAAGTTATAGATCAAACAGTAGGAAAGAACATAATATTCTGGATTGCTAATAAATGACAGTTGAAGAGAAAAAGGACACAATGTCCTTATTAACATGGTATACCTGGAGACAGCAGAAGGAGACGCAGAAATAATGCCTGTGTTCGAGGTGGCTTATTTTATACGGTTATTAATTGCAACTACTTCTGTATCCTTCACTTACATGAATATATATATTCATATATATATTCATATAAGATAGATAGATAGATAGATAGATAGATAGATAGATAGATAGATAGATAGATAGATAGATAGATAGATA